ACGAGTCAAAAAAGGTTTCCAATGGACTTCCATTTACTGATTGGCGAAGCAACGTTCTGTGGACGAGATTACATATTATATATATAAATGAAATGACTGCTAAAATTTGAATATAACATTAACTAAAAAACAGATTCTTGCACTAGTAAAATTCTTGTACTATTAAGATCAAGACGAAGAGTTTAAGAAGGCAAATTTATGTTATTAAACCCACAGACACACAGACAGGTGGGCTGAGGCAGCCAGTTACACACACACACACACACACACACACACACACACAGTTATCACAAGAGACAGCATGAACGGGAGCAGCTCCGGGCGCGCACACACCACACTGTACACACACAATACACACCATGAACAGTGTACAACAGGACACAGGTTGTACACCAGCACCCGTACAAACACGCCTGTGGCCTCACATGCCGGAATACTCCCCACTGTATATAGCACAGGAAAAATACAACACTCCACCAACAATATGTTTTATTGAATGTGTCTACATACGTATGTATTACGTATTATACATACGTATTGTATATACATACATTACGTCTACACACAATATATAATATATAGGGGGGGGGTACCACCTCTGGCTGGAAGAAGGGTCCCCATTACACACAGAAATCACAATAGCGTGATGTAGTAAATGAAGAAATCCACAAGGGCCGTGACGAGGATTCGAACCTACGTCCGAGCGTCTGGGGATGATTTCGGACGAAGGTTCGAATCCTCGTCACGGGCCTTGTGGATTTGTTCAAGGGGGACCCATAGCCTCGGAGAAAACCACATACAAAGCATTAGGGGGATTTTTTATGTCCCTACTAATGCAGTTTACATGTCCTTTTGTCCTACCCCTACCCCCTATATATATATATATATATATATATATATATATATATATATATATATATATATATATATATATATATATATATATATATATATATATATATATATATATATAAGGCAGACAGGTTACAGCATCACCAAATACAGACAGACAGGTTACAGCATCACCAAATACACACACAGGTTAGAGCATCACCAAATACAGACATTCCACTAGGCGATCTCAGAACACAGGAGGAGGAGCCGTGCGAGCGCTGAGAGAGACACGATAATAATGGCCAGCAGATCCCCTCGTTCTCTACCCTGTCTCGGTATCGACGCAATAAACCCGCTCCCACCAAACAAATGACTGTCGCAATCAAGCCCAAAACCTCCTGTGATCCACTGAAGCTAAGACTATGCGTTATCCCAGTGATGTGTTATTGAATCAAATGCTCTCTGACATGGAAGGAAAATCTCAAATTTGCACGGTAGTTTGGTGGGTAGTTTTAATATAGACCGACAGACACGGAGGAAACTACCCACAATGAACTGGGAAATCTTGCCTGATCCTCTAACATTATTCAGGATGCTCTTTATTGAAGGTTTCTGATATCCAATACTCTCTGCCGGTTTAAATTTACAAATTTGTTTGACCGCAGATTTTTCGTTCAATATATTTACATCGAAAGATTTTGATACGTGGAATGGATAGATATGTTCGTAGACAAATAGACTGAGATAAATTTACACACACCCAACTAGGTAAGTACAGGCCTCGCGGCTCAATGGGACAGCGTTCAGGAGGTGTAGTCCATAGGGCCTAGGTTCGATTCCCGGCCAAGGCGGAAACAAATCGGCAGAGTTTATTTCACACTGGTGCACCTGTTTACCTAGCAGTAAATAGGCACCTGGGAGTTAGACAGCTGCCACGGGCTGCTACCCTTTTGTCCTACAGAGAAATATATGTAGTAAATATAACAGAAGAAAAAGATAGATAGATTAGAAAGGCGGGGCCCAAGAATTAATAGCTCGATTATGCAGACACAAATAGTAAATACACACACATACACCCACACACCCACACACACACACACACACACATTTCACACGCACATACACTGAGAAAGAAGCGGGGAATAAGTAAAAGTGGGAGGGAATGGAGGTAGAGAGTAGTAAAGAAGAGAGGGGTAGGAATTGGAAGAGAACAGGAGGAAGGGGGGGGAGAGAGGGGATATGGAGAGAGAGAGAGGGAGAAGGAAAGGGACGAGAGAGAGAAATACCTGACGGTACTAAAGAGGATTGGAAATGAGAAGACGTCTGGAAGAATAAGAGGGGAGAGGATGAGAAGGGGAAGGAGAGAGGAGGAATAGAAAACAAAAGTTGGAGAAATTATATGAAGGGAGAAGGTGGGAAGGGTGGAAAGATTGGGAGAGGAGGAAATGTAGTAGAGGAGAGGGAATACGGTAAGAAAGATGGGGGGAGGATAGGGAGAGAGGGAGGGAGGATAGGGAGAGAGGGAGGGAGCAGACAGGTAAAAGGGAGATGGGGGAATGTGTGACACTATGGTAAGAGAAGAAAATAGGGGAAATTAAGTGATGGAAGACGAGAGAGAGAGAGAGAGAGAGAGAGAGAGAGAGAGAGAGAGAGAGAGAGAGAGAGAGAGAGAGAGAGAGAGAGAGAGACAGAGACAGAAGAGAGCAATAGTCAATGCTGTATTCGGAAACACCATTTCAAGACCAGAGTCCAAGTTCTCGCAGTTTATCAATAAGGAATTCAATTTTTTTTAAGCATAAACATTTTTGCCTCACAAAAGAATTTGAAATGACTACAAATATCACAACGCTGCTCAAAGTACAACAAAACCTTAAAAAAAAAAATCCGCATCTGTTCGCATATTTTAAATAAAATTCTAAAGCCTCAAAATAAATTTTTAAACAAAAAACTAGTAATCAAAATACGACCTGCCAATAATTACTAATTAAAATTTATATTACTGATAATTACTACTGTAATTATCAATATACAATTGATAATTACTGGCAAGAATAAGTCATTATTCCGACCTGACAAGTCGTTCCTCATTAGTTATAGATTAAAGATAATTATAATTCGAGGCGTGAGAGAGTTTGGTGTCACGTTGAGTAACTTAATTACGCAAATCACAGTCGCAATCAACACTGCAACACTTCCAAAATTCTTCCAGGAAACAAAAATTGCCAAACTCCTCCACTGATTGCTCAGCTCTTCGTTTGGAGTCACAACTTCCTCAAAACAAATTATGTCACCAATCAGCACGATAACTTTCCTCCAAGCCGCTGGAGAAAATGCTTAACTCTAGTAATTACATTCGACGACGTTGTTAACGAAACGAGTGCTGGCCGATAGCGAAGCTGGTGTACCGCTTCACCCGTCCTGGGAAATGGGAGCCAGATTAACGTAGTAGTTACGTAAGCACTTACGAACCTGTCCATCTTTTCTCAATCTTTGGCGGGTTTGTTTATAATTATTAAACAGTTAATGAGCTCCGAAGCACCAGGAGGCTGTTTATAACAATAACAGTTGATTGGGAAGTTTTCATGCTTGTAAACTGTTTAATAAATGTATCCAAAGCCGTCAAAGATTGAGTTAAGATGTACCGGGGCCAGATTCACGAAAATACTTACGCAAGCACTTACTAACCCGTACATCTTTTCCAATCTTTGGCGGCTTTGTTTACAATTAATTAACAGTTAATGAGCTCCGAAGCACCAGGAGGCTGTTTATAACAATAACAACAGTTGACTGGCAAGTTTTCATGCTTGTAAACTGTTTAATAAATGTAACCAAAGCCGTCAAAGACTGAGGAAAGATGTACACGTTCGTAAGTGCTTGCGTAACTGCTTCGTGAATCTAGCCTCAGGTGACTATGGCAATCAACGAGGGTTCATAGCCGATAAACGTTAGTGCCGAATCTTAAATTTGCATTCTCAAGGATCCAGAGAAGTCGACGGTGTCTTCACGAAAGGAATTTTGTATCATACAGTTGATTTAAACAAACAAATTTGCTACTTATTACAGGCGATGAGTCACAATAACGTGGCTGAAGTGTGTTGACCAGACCACACACTAGAAGGTGAAGGGACGACGACGTTTCGGTCCATCCTGGACCATTCTCAAGTCGATTAATAAACGTCGTCGTCCCTTCACCTTCTAGTGTGTGGTGTGGTCATCTGCCACTTATTTTTTGTAGTAAATAAAGCCTTACAATGGCAAGAGGTAACAAATCAGACTTTCCAACACGTTTCGGTCCGTCTTGGAAGGACCGAAACTTCGTCACTTTCACTTCATTTGAGAAAGTCGGGTAAAGAGGTCATTATATTAATCATAACTGAAATTATTTGCCTGATAATCATTAAATTATCTCAATAGATTCATCCTTTCTAATAATTAAAATCTGACAGATTTATTACTGAATATATTCTATTAGAGCAAGATGTTTATAGTAAATACAGGTGCATCGAACAACATCTTATACGACAGTGCACTCTACTTAATATAATTTTTGTGGTCGAATTACATTACTTCAAAGCGAACCCATGATTCAATTTCTTTATTATGCACCCAATACCCCTCCCGTGGGTGGCGGCGGTGTAAAGGGTTACAGAGGCACATAATCGGTTCAGGAACTGAACCCTCTAGTTCGTTTAGCTAAGCAAATAACAATCTTTTGACGATAGTTACACAATTAATAATGTTATATACGAACACATAAGCACCCATCTTATCTCTAGTTATGCCCTAAGCCCTTACCAAGTTGCTTCAAGAGGGTAGTACAGCTGTATGAAGCTAAACCACTCATAACTTTAATTATTACCTTCTAAAGGAACCTCGTTCCTCCTCACGAGGTCAACTCTGAAAGGCGAAAACTCCCATCAGAAGCTTCGTAGGTTTTCCTGTTCCTCTGGAGTAAAGTTCACGGCAGTCTTGTGATCTTTGTGTACCCATGATCGACGGATGGAGAGGCCGACCCGTAAGCCAATTTAACTTCAGCACCGAGTTTGATGAAGTGTATAAATACTCAGGATTTAAAAAAAATCCTTCCTCAAAACTGTCAGAAGAGAGAGATTAGACCCAAGATTGACATTCACAATGATATGATATGATGAGAGAACACTGTAGGCATGGTCTCTACTGTCCACGAGACGAGAGAACACTCTGCGGGCATGGTCTCTACTGTCCACGAGACGAGAGAACACGCTGCGGGCATGGTCTCTACTGTCCACGAGACGAGAGAACACGCTGCGGGCATGGTATCTACTGTCCACGAGACGAGAGAATACGCTGCGGGCATGGTCTCTACTGTCCACGAGACGAGAGAACACGCTGCGGGCATGGTCTCTACTGTCCACGAGACGAGAGAACACACTGAGAGCATGGTCTCTACTGTCCACGAGACGAGAGAACACACTGAGAGCATGGTCTCTACTGTCCACGAGACGAGAGAACACACTGAGAGCATGGTCTCTACTGTCCACGAGACGAGAGAACACACTGAGAGCATGGTCTCTACTGTCCACGAGATTAGAGAACAAATATCGATTATTATCACCGCAAGAAATTAACACAATTCGCCGAGAACATCAGTTCATGTTCCCTCGGTGTCTAATGTTGGTATATTAATTCTCCCGATACTCGAGAACTGAATGAGCTTTACATTTCAATGTCAGATGAGATTTGTCCCTGTACCCTCCTGTGAATGTACTGGATCTGTACCTTCCTGTGAATGTACTAGGCCCTATACCGTTACGTTAACGACCCACGACTACAAACTTAGGGTCCCACTCCAGAACATGAGCCTAGGTTAATCCTCCAAAAGTTAAGGCACCCAGGGCCAAGGCACCCAGGGCTGAGGCACTCAGGACTGAGGCACCCAGGACTGAGGCACCCAGAGCCAAGGCACTCAAGGTTACATAGACAATGGCACTATGACCCCTTCACATGACGAGGACTCCAAAATAACACACAAGACACCCTCCTACACCAGGAGTGCAGAAGCAGTGGGTGCTGGCACATCTGCCTCCTCCTCCTTCCCATGACCCATAGCCCCTATTATTAGGCACTTCCCCTCCTCTCCCATCATCTCCCCCTATTACCAATCTATTCCTGAACCCATTACAATCCTGTTCCACAGTCTTCAACTCCCAATTTTCCTCTCGGTTCCCCTTCGTTTCAGCTCATTTCTCCTTAAACTCTCCATTGGCCATTAAAATGGTTGCTAATGGTTGCTCTCTCTTCCCCCTAGAACGCTTGTAAGCCTCTCACGCGCCTCTCTTAACACTCCCATTAATGGGTTCCTGTCACCTTACCCCCCCCCAGCCCTCCTCACAGGTTCATAGTCATTCCCCCCCCCCTCCCAGTCCTCCAAGACAGCTTCACGGTCACTCCCTCGCCCCCCCTCCCAGTCCTCCAAGACAGCTTCACGGTCACTCCCTCGCCCCCCCTCCCAGTCCTCCAAGACAGCTTCACGGTCACTCCCTCGCCCCCCCTCCCAGTCCTCCAAGACAGCTTCACGGTCACTCCCTCGCCCCCCCTCCCAGTCCTCCAAGACAGCTTCACGGTCACTCCCTCGCCCCCTCTCCCAGTCCTCCAAGACAGCTTCATAGTCACTCCCCCCCCCCCACCTTCCAGTCCTCCAAGACAGCTTCACGATCACCCCCCCCCCCTCTTCTCTCCCATCCAAACTCCCCGTCTGTCTTTTTGCTTTCTCAAGTTGCTTTTACCGTCAATGGGGTTAAGATTAGCTCGAAGACTTTTTATGGATTAAATCTGTCTGATTCCCACTTTCTCTCTCCGTTCTCTCAGCGCGTGTTTACGCATGTTCCTCAAGCGCTTCCGCCTTAGTGACGTCTGTTGGCTGTGTTCCCACAAGACAGGGGCTAGACTGTGCTATTCCTCACTGGGGAGCAGCGGAAGGGGGGACATTTACCACGCTGATGGGAAGGACGTGACCTTACTGAGTCTTACCCTTGCGCTTCTCTGCAGGTCAAGTACTTCATCTCTCTCATACAAGTTTGCAACGCGAAAAATCCAGGGGGCCAGATTCACGAAGCAGTTACGCAAGCACTTGCGTAACATTATATTATAAACATTATGATAATTTTTTGATTGATCTTATTTCTCACTGTATACTTTAGTTACTAGTTTTACTTAAAGCTGATTTTCCATTTTGTAATTTTAAATTCACTGCAAAATCTGAGCAAAAGCCATACATTAAAACATTCATTGTAGCCATGATAAGGATTAAGGATTGCAGCCATGATCAACCAGGCTGTGACTCATACGTCAGGCTGCGAGCAGCCGCGTCCAACAGCCTGGTTGATCAGTCCGACAACCAGGAGGCCTGGTCGACGACCGGGCCGCGGGGACGCTAAGCCCCGGAAGCACCTCAAGGTAACCTCAAGGTATGATATATATGTTCTTCAGCCTACAGTTTAGACCTATTGTCTTGTGTATGACCCTCTGTCCTGTGTGACAGTGAATACCAGCATTATCCTCACTTTAATAAGACTTAATTGAAATCCTCAGATTAGGCAAAATTGTAATTAATTTTGTCAATAAAGATAATAGGCATAATTAGAATTTTCAAGTGAATTTATTCAATAACTTGACTTTGGTAATGTATCAGAAATCGTCAAATTTTATACTAACACAGCCATTGATTCTTATTGTGTATACACTTATGGGATACCCAGAGGTGCCTTGATCAACCCCGCTCTCTCTCTGTCTCTACCTGTCTGTATGTCTGTGTGTGTTTGTCTGTCTCACTACGGACAGTCTTCTGTCCACCTGTCTCCCACTATCAGTCTGTATCTCCCTCTGCATGTCTCATCCCTATGTCTGTATCTCCCTCTGCATGTCTCATCCCTATGTCTGTATCTCCCTCTGCATGTCTCATCCCTATGTCTGTATCTCCCTCTGCATGTCTCATCCCTGTCTGTCTGCATCTCTACCTGTTTGACTGTCTGCCTGTCTCTGTGTTCCTCCCCCCACGAGAGCCAACCACAACATCAGGGACTGACGATAAACAAACTATCAGTGTTTGAAGTTCGCTACGCCAACCGTGTCTTCCCTTGCTGACTGTGTTGACTAATAGAGTAATCAACTTACTAAATAACGCCATTTTTCTCCCTATTCGACTATGGACAGATCTCTCTATTTTGTTCTGGGGCTTCAATCTTAAGATTATATGTATAATTGTTCGAGATTTCTATTTTAAATTAAAATCTGTAGTCTTAATTGTTATTTCGGATTTTTTTTGCGATTTGTTTATTAAATATCGTGTCATTTCTCCAACCACTTGGGTTGGACGGTAGAGCGACGGTCTCGCTTCATGCAGGTCGGTGTTCAATCCCCGACCGTGCAAGTGGTTGGGCACCATTCCTTTTCCCCTTGTCCCATCCCAAATCCTTATCCCTTCCAAGTACTATATAGTCGTAATGGCTTGGCATTTTCCCCTTCCATTCCCTATACTTTGCCCGGCTATGCATACTCTGTAGCCAGCTAGGTCCCTGTGTCACGGTGAGGTGAAGAAAGGGCACGACACGGGCGCCACGACATGTAAACATTGATTGATTACTTAGCTGACTTATATTCGCAACTCATTCATATCATTACAGCTACGGCAGGACAGAACATAAGTAGAGGCATTCAAAATGTTGACCAGACCACACACTAGAAGTTGAAGGGACGACGACGTTTCGATCCGTCCTGGACCATTCTCAAGTCATTGATTATCGACTTGAGAATGGTCCAGGACGGACCGAAACGTCGTCGTCCCTTCAACTTCTAGTGTGTGGTCTGGTCAACATACTTCAGCCCCGTTATTGTGACTCATCGCCTGCGCATTCAAAATGAATGGTTCCAAGAACGAGATCCTTGCATATCTTGTTCTTGGAGTTCAAGAGCGGGATATGTGGGTACATATCTCCCCACACATACACGTGGCGGGATATTTGTGAAGCAATGTGTGGTACAATGTGTGGTACAATGTGTGGTACAATGCGTGGTACAATGCGTGGTACAATGCGTGGTACAATGCGTGGTACAATGCGTGGTACAATGCGTGGTACAATGCGTGGTACAATGCAGGAGAAGACCACGTGCAAGTGGATACGTGGAAGCCACACGTGGGAGCCGCATGCGGGTTCTTCCCCCTGGTGCGGTATACAGATATTTTTAGCTTTAGAAAAGGACCTTTACCTTTTCACAAACTACAAAAAAGGCATCAAGATGCCTCGTGACATTCAAGATGTCAATAAAATAGTTTAAAACTTAATTCAATGATAGTTTTCTTGTTCATCAGGTTTGTTTACAATATTTTTAATTACTATATATAACACTTGAGAGACAGAAGACATTTTGTAATATTTTATATTTGTGAAATGTGGCATTTTACAATAACAGTTTAATGTGTAAATAACCTCTTACTGAGTATAAACAAACCTGAAAGTCACTTAGGTTAAGTGTATCAGATGTGAGGGAGTACAGAGCAGAGTACACTCACATACGGAATATACTGTAACACTGAACTACCACTCACTCACTCACACAATGAGCCACAGGAACGTTAGAAGGAACTTTTTCAGTGTCAGAGTAGTTAACGGATGCAATGCACTAGGCAGTGATGTGGTGGAGGCTGACTCCATACACAGTTTCAAGTGTAGATATGATAGAGCCCAATAGGCTCAGGAACCTGTACACCTGTTGATTGACGGTTGAGAGGCGGGACCAAAGAGCCAGAGCTCAACCCCCGCAAGCACAAATAGGTGAGTACACACACAACACACAAAACACACACACAACACCCCCCCCCACACACACACAACACACACACACACAAACACACACACATAACACACACACACACAAACACACAAACACACACACACACACACACACACAAACACACACAACACACACACACACAACACACATAACACACACACAACACACACACAACACCCCCCCACACAACACACACACACAACACCCCCCCCCACACAACACACACACACACAACACCCCCCACACAACACCCCCCCCCCCACACACACACACACACACACACAAACACCCCCCCACACACACACAACACAACCCCCCCACACAACACACACACACAACACAACACCCCCCACACAACACACACACACACACTGGTCATTAACCAGCTGCTCCACTTCTGGTACTCCAACGCTGACCCCACAACCATGCATCGCTGATATTAAGCTTGGGTAAGAGCGGAGGGTGGGAGAAGGAATGGGTGAGGGGAGGGGAGACAGAGAAGAGATGGAGACCAGGGGAGAGAATGGGGAAGGGGTGAATGAGAGGGAACACCAGGACACGACATATACCAGCCTTTGTAAGGGTATTGAAGCCATGTTGCAAATGCAACCTATCCTCTCAATCTATGCAATGCAATATTAAAGAAACCCGAACAAAAATTCTGGTGTTTTAGTGAAATTACAAGTCCCTTAATATTGAGGCTTTACAGACTACTGAGAATCGACCCTGGTGTGTCGAGTGGAGTGCCAAAGCGCCTAAGTTTCTGGGTAGGAATACC